TCTTGAGCATATGTCTGCTGTCCCTCTCTTGAGCATATGTCCGCTGTCCTTCTCTTACGCCACACTCCATTCTAATATTCCAGTAGGTAGAACAGAAAGATTTTGCCTTTATGAACTGATTTCTGCTTTAATAAAAAGCAGATATTAAACCAACAGTTATGCAATTAATTGTATGCAAATATGCAAATGAAACCAATAAATGAAACAAAAGAGAAAGAAAGGTTAACAGGCAAAAAAAAAAAAAAAAAAAAAAAAACAGTTCAGGTTGCAGAACCAGAAAAATCTTCCCCAAGGAATTTTAAAGCTGACAGTTAAAATGTGAGTGGTACAGGGTCCAAGTAGGTTCCATAGTAATGGGAACAGGGACTGTCTCTGACATGAACTACTCTTTGATTACCTCCCACTCAGGGGGGTGCAGCCTTACCTAGCCACAGAGGAAGACAATGCAGCCACTCCTGATAAGACTGGGTCAGGCTAGGGTCAGATGGAAGGGGAAGAGGACCTCCCCAATCAGAGGGGCATGGGTGAAGAAGAGGGAGGAAGAGAAGGATTGGGAAGGGAGGGGTGGGGAGCTAGAGGTGGGATACCAAGTGAGTAAACTGTAACTAATAAAAATTAAAAAAAAAAAAAAGTGACACAGTGGGAAAAAAATGTGAGTGGCGTTTACTGAGGCAAAAGCTCAGGAGAAAGCCTGGTCAGGGATGATGCAAAGGTAGCAGCAGAGGAGAGTGCTGGGAGCAGGAGACAGAGCATGGAGAAGCCAACAGGAAGTTGAGTCTAAAGACATGACCCAGGCCAGGAAGCCTGCAGCGCTTTTCTCCTCTTGGGGTTCTGTTCCCTGGGAAGAACAGAAAGAGTACAGCAAGGCACTAAGAGCAAAGGCAGTCCTGGGCTGGAGCAGCATTGAGAGACGGGGCCAGCCTTAGAGGAAAAGGGCCTAAGTCTTCCCTGTGGTTAACGTCTATGGCCTTAATCTCTAGTTTAAGAATTATTTTGTTATTTATTAATTGTGTGTGTGTGTGTTTCCATGTGTCCATCTATATGGGTGGCCACTGAGGCCAGAGGAGGGTGTTGGAGCCACTGGAGCTGGAGATCCAGGCTGCTGCGAGCCACCCTGTGGGTGCTAGAAACAAAATTCTAAAGGAACAGCAAGCACTCTGAACTGATGAGTCAGCACTCTAAACTGATGCATTGTCCCTTGTAATCTTTTCAAATGAAAGCTAAAGATGCTGAGGTGAGGCTGGGAGGCTTGCTCTGCAACCGTGAGGATCTGAGTTCAAACCTCCAAAGCACATTAAAGCTAGACAGGGTAGCATCTGCCTGCAGTTCCATGCTCTGATGGTGAGGATAGCATAGGAGAGTTTCTGGAAGTTTTCAGAGCACGCAGACTGAAACAACAAAGAGAGAAGAGAGACTGTCTCAGACGAGGGGGGAGGTGAGAACTGAAACCTGAGTGTCCTTTTACCTCCACATGCGCATGGAGCATGTACATACCACACACACACACACTCACACACACACTCACACACACACAAACTCACACACACACAAACTCACACACACTCACACAAACACACACACTCACACACACACACAAACACACACTCACACACACACATTCACACACTCACACACACACACACTCACACACACACACTAACACACACACACTCACACACCCACGCACACACACACACACACATACACACACACACACATACACACGCACACACACACACACAGGCACACACTCACAAACACGCTATATTCTACATCTGGACACAGATCTGCCTTACCTTTTACTTTGTCCTTACCCCCAAGCCAGATGTCAGAAACAGAGTAGGTCTTTCATAAGAGCTCATTGCTGGGCACAGGGCATGTCTGGAATCTCCACAGCAGGATGCTGAGGCAAGGAGGTCTCAGCTCTACACAGTCGGGAGGGACACGGGGAAACCTTGTCACAAAACAGTGCAAACCAGAAGCCCCGAGCCCCTCTTGACTGATAAGTTAAAGATCACAAAGGTAATGGGAACATTTCATGTAGTTCCTCTCCATACTTAAAAGAGAATCCTGGAGTTTACCCAGCATGCTTGGGAATTATGGGAAAGAATGAAATCCTCCGAAACCAGAAGTTGTGGTGAAAGAGATCATCTCAAGAGAGAGCCTACAGGGCAGGCTATCCACCACTTCCAAGGAATGGCATGGCATTTTTAAGGAATGTTATTTGTATAGGAATAATGACTAGAAGGCAAGTAGACTTAGTGATAAACCCATTGTGAATGCCTTTCCAGGGAAGACGTTTTTATACTGTGAGCCCCATAAGAGAATCAAGGAGGTTTTGGAAGAAGAACTCTCTATCAAGAGGGATGAATGCCACGTGAAAAGCCCACCCACAGGTAACCTCAGCCACAAGAAGTACGTTTGCTAAGTGAATGTGAAATTGTCTATTTGATGGCAGGATGATTATTTTATTTGTAATGAAATGATAATCATCAAGTGAAGCAAGTTCCTAGGAAATCTTAGAACTTTTTTTTTTTTTGCCTATGTCCAAATATATCTCTACATGTAGAGGAAAATGAACTAAATCTTCAATACATGCTTTGCTGTCCATAATTTAGGATGGTGTTCTTTCTATTTAATAGTGAGTAGAACGGTTTCCCACTCCTGGGACACACAGCAACATCTTCAGATTTATCAGTGTAGCCTGGGTGTCTAGACTACCAAGTTCCTAGGTGATCGGTGCTCCTAGTACAGAGACCCTCCCCGCCAACCGCCGTTCTGGCAGGATGTGAGCCACTGAGGTCAGATCACCCACAAACCCCGTAGAAAACAAACAAAACCACAGCACCCGAGTGGCACAGCTGGGCACTGATAGCTCTCAGGATGCCCATGCTTTCTTCCAGACATCAGTCTAAGATGACTGGCCCTTCGTACCCGTGATTTCTTTTCAGCAACTGATCGCTAGGAGAATATTTCCCGGCTTTCAAATAACCAGGCTTTCATTACAATGCTGCTGGGCTCCTGAATTTTGCTAGAAGAAATAACTAGGTAAGCAAGATGGCTCATGGGGTAAAGTACCTGCTCTGACAGAAAGCCTATTGACCTGAGTTCAATCCCTGGAACCTACGCGTCCTAAATTTCATCCATGTTGCTGGTGTGCAACACCCTGCCAAAGCGACTCCAGTGGAATTCACAATTACTCAATTCACAATTCCGGGTCCCAGTCCATCATGGCAGGGACATCAAGGCAGGAAGCAGCTAGACACAGCCACAGTCAGAAGCAGAGAAAGAAAGTGCAGACACGTGTGCCCACTGCTGAGCTTGCCCTCTGTACTCTGATTTCAGTCTAGGACCCCAAGCCCAGGGGATGCTGCCGCCCAATGTGTGACTGGGTCTTTGCCCATCAATCAGCACAATCAAGGCAATCCCCCACCAACATGGCCACAGGTTGACCTGATTTTGACAATCCCTCACTGAGACTCGCTCTAGGTTGAGTCTAGGTTGTGTAACATTGACAGGACTAACCATCACACCTTGTAAAGGTGGAAAGAAAGGACTGACTTCACAAAGCCCTGCCCTCCTCCTCATGCTACAGCAATGCAACCCCATCCCCCCCCCGAACATCATGCCTACACACAATACTGATTTAAAAAATAAAATAAATAAGAGAAACAAACCCAGGACTCCAGTGTTTCAGAGAACTGGCCATCTTTGGGGAGGGGGGGGACTGTTCTGGGAAGGTGGAACCCAGGCCCCCTAGAGGTTTCTGATAAGAGATGCTGACAGCGGCAAGTCACATGATCCCGATTCCAGCCTACTCCACATTGCTAAGCAGCCATGGGTGTTTGCTTTGGGGCCTTACTGCATCACCAATGACACACAGCATCTTCAAAAAAAAAAAAAAAGCCTCAAGTGTACACTACATGCTGCGAATAGATGTGGAATGACCTACGTGCACTATGTTCTGGGTGGTTAAGCATCTTTTTTTCAAAATTATTATAATAGTTTAGATTCAGCTTTCTTGTTTTGAAGAACCACATAGAAGTTCTATAAGGAGGAATAACATTTCTATAAGGAGGAAATGAGTGTTGTGTAATTCTTACTGAGTGCATCTGACTGTGAGACAGGCTGAGAGAATATGAAATAAACGTTCTATTTTTGTTAAGTATTTTCAAATAGTCACTTAGTATGCAGCTACCTGGGCTGCATTTTTTATAAAATCCACCAGAGGGCGCACAAAGGTACCATTTCGCCTAGAAAACTCTCATTCTAAATTAGCTTGTGCTTTAAAGGGCTCCTCCAGAATAGATAACTAGTATCCAGAGAGAGTGGTAAACTCCTCCTGCCTAGCTGCAGTCCGGGCAGCTCTTACCCAGCCATTAGACCATTAGAACAGGGGACACACTGTTCTTTGAATACCTGATGACAGCTGCTATGCCCCGGCCTGCGGGGCTTCAACGGGGTTCCTAAGGTGGAGAGATTGGAAGGAATGGGGTGGGGGGTAGGGACAAGAGATGCAAGAAATGAAAGCCAAGTCTGTTTGTCTGATCAAGGCTTCCGTTTATTAGAAATTTTTACCCAACTTATATAGGGAGAAGGCAGAAAAAAGGGGGAAGGTTAATCTGCTGCTGCAGGAAATAGGAAGAGTGCTTTCATGGGTTAACTATTGTACCTGCAAGATACCATAAGGATGTTCTCTTAAGATATATTACGGATGCTCTAACAAAGGATGTCCTCACAATCTGTCACCCATGATTTAGGGTCTAGATAACTCTTTCACTACATAGCTTTAGGTCTCCACTAAATGACCTTTGCTCTCTACTTCTTGGCTTTGGCTTCAGTAACTACCTTTGTCTCCACTAGATAGCTTTGGCTTTGGCTTCCGTAGATAGCTTTGGCTCCCTGCAAGCTGCAGCTCCTTCTTCCAGAAGACACACTATGGCATCCAGCCTGTGATCACACGCACACTCTGCCTACAGCTTTCAAGTGTGCAGTAGTGCTGTCTGCAGATGCTAAGAGATAGTGCGAGTGGCAGCTTGCCTCTGTGTCTTTATGCATCCTTTGTTCCTCTCTCTTCCCTGTTGTGACACTGTGGTCCCCTCAAGTTTGGAAACATATCCAGATTGCAAATAGCATTCCTCTTGAAAGTCAAAGCTGTGATTCCCTACCCTGTCACGTTCTCAGTGGTATCTGAGGTATCTTCTTTTCCCCTCTGAAAGCTTCAATGTGGCCTAAAGGCCATCATGCTCCAGTTCCCTGGCTCTGCTCCTATCTCTTTGCCACCTTTTCTTCCCTACTTCTGCTCTGCTACCTGACCTCCAAAATATGGATAACTCATCCCCTCCCCGCCTTTTTTGAGTTAGGGTCATTCTATAACTCCCTGGCTGTCCTGGAACTTTGTAGCCCAGGCTGGCCTCAAACTCAGACCCACCTGCCTCCCAAACACTGGGATTAAACATCCAGCATTCAGATCTTTCTCTCCCCTTATTAAATATGGCTCTGTAATGTTAATCACTCCGAAATGCATTATCGCTAGCTTTTACTTTCCCTCCTCAAACCTCGGAGCCTACTTGCCTTTCCAAATGGGTGTCTGTTTGCACTAGTGGTATGGTGGTGGGCACAGCTGCCTTCCCAATGGTTGCATGGTCAACCTCCCTAAGCTAGCCCATCCCAAAGAGAGCCCTAATTCTTCCCCCAGACCTTTTAAAACCCACTCTTCAAGGGTCTTCCTCAAGTCAAGAAGTAGCACATATTCCATTTATGTGATTAGGGCAACATATAGAAGTCAGGTCCTCAGGCTCCATTCCAGACCACTAGCTAAGCTTGCTGACTCCATGTGTGGAAGAGCCCTAAGCTTCCGCAGCTGGACGCTTGACCATCTCCATCTCTCCTCTCTCAAGCTCAGCAACAGAGCTTTCAGCTGCTTCCTCTGTGGCCTCCTAGGTCTGTTCTCTACACAGAAACCAGAATGGTCTACAAGACTGATCACATGGCCACACTCAAACCTCTACAGTGTCTTTTCATTGTTTTAAATTAAATTCCATCACTTGGGAGGGAGAGGCAGGAGGATCAGGATGTTGAAAGTTTTCTATGGCTATATCACAAGTTCAAGGCCAACCTGGAGTACAGAAAAACTGAAACAAGCAAACTCCAGAATAAGTCACGCACACACTCGCCTGCTCCCTGGGGTTCTGAGAGATTTCTAGGCCATTTAGGATTACAAAGTAAGGAGCAGACTCAGACACCACATTTAAGTCTGACCCCAACCCCATTGACTTCCTACTCAGGATGGTGTCTGGTGACATAGAGCCAAGCCCTATGGGGTTTGAGCCACTCTTCACTGGCTCGAGAGTTCAATGTTTAATGTGCCTGATGGTTCTTCCCCAGACTTCCACGAAACTAGACTATCCTACCTTTCTCCCTGGAACACCCTTTTCTTTTGTTCCTTAAGAACCCTTTGTCACCAACCTTGCCCAATATTCAAGATGGCCAGGATGATAGCCACCATCTTCTAATCTCGTCCCACTAGTGCTCTCTGAGTTCCTCCACTGTGACCTCACTAGGACACTCCTGAAATTTGTGTCTCTAGGCAGATTCTATCCTGGATGTCCCTTAAGCACTCAGGATCAGTGAGTCTAGGAAAAAACTCCTCCCGTCCGACCCCACCTCACCTGGCCAGTTTACTCCTTCCCCTGCGTCAGTATCCACCAAATGACAGGGTCACTCCAAAAAATGCCTCCGTCTCCAGGCAGCCATCATCTAGTAAGGCTTAGTTTGAAGCAAGTTTTCCAAAACATTGGCCAAATGTCAAGTTCACCCTTCAAATACACATATTTCCTATACGTGTATAGGAAATAGTAGATACTTTATCTATAGTAGATACTTTATCAGAACTAGTTGTCAACATTAAAATGTCAGGCCAGACCTGCAATTCAAACACTTAAGTGGATGTAGGGATAATCAAGAGTTCAAAGTCATCCTTGGCTACACAGAGGGTTTGAGGCCAAGCTGGGGTTATATTAGACTTTGTCTTAAAGAACCCAGAAAGGGGGCTGGGCATCAGTCATAGAGCACTTGCCCATCCCCTCCAAACAACAACAACAACAACAAAAACCAATACTGTCACATCTGAGTGTCTACAATGTATAGGGGGATTATTAGATGCCAGCTGGAAGGTCAAGAGTCTATGAGTCACTGAGCAGAAATTAAAATCTCTTGAAGTTTTCCTTCCCCTGGTCAAACCTATGAGCATGTTTACACAGGGCAGTATAGGAACATGGCTCAAAACCAGCCTTTCAAGCCCTCTCCATCGCCCAGTCCACAGACAGCCAAGCAGGAAAACAAAACAAAACAAAACAAAACAAAACGTATTTTAAAAGATAAGTTTGACTTCCCTGTGAGATCAACCTGAGGCACTGGCTAGAATCTCTAGGTGGTGGGAAGCATGCATGGGTTTGTAACTTTTAAATTTAGAATAAAAATCCACACAAAAAGGTCTTTGAATAGAAATGGTCATGGGTGCAAGGAAAGAAGAGAATCTCTAGAAGGTTCAAGGACAGGATTTGAGTCTTTTGTGCCCACTGCTCTTTCCCCTTCCTGGCCAGGTATGCGAGCTCTGAGCCCTTGCTGGCCCTGCCTTGTCCTTCTGCCTGCTGCTTAGAGGCACATGTCTAGAGCCCAGGGAGGTCACTTGCCCCAAAGAGCAGCTGTCTCAGAGGACTTCGGTGCCTCTTTTGTTCTACTTCAGTATCTCAGCTCTGGTAACTCCTTTACCCCAAACAGCACATCAAATAAACAGTGTTATTAACAGTTTCCATATCAATCTTCTTCTTTGAAAGCAGCAAACACTTACACACAATTGTATTTTGCTTTTAGGTTTTTAACACTTCTTAGCATCTGCACATATATTTTGAGTGTTTTCCTGTTCAGTTATAACCTTTAGCACTCCTGTAACTGTACCAGAAAGAGCATAGCCAAAGTTGCTTGATGCAGCTCTTATCCAGGTCTTCAGAGCCCTGCTCTAGAACTTAAACTGCTTTCTACCTCGTACATCTTCCCATGGTCCAGGGCAAACCTACAGCTATTTTATTGGTCTCTCACAGGCTGTCTTCACAGGAATTGTGGGGTAAATGCTTATGATCAATGGCATGTGAAAGCCTCTTCTCAGAGGAAGGCGACCTGTGTCTCTCTAGATAGGACAGAAGAGGAGACTGGCTTGAATGGGAGGCAAAGATTTAGGTTAGATTCAATGAACAGCTTCAATTTTGTAGGATCTTGGCAGAAGGAGTTTGTGAAGCCTTCCCTGAAGGACCTAGAAAAAGGATGACACTCATCTTTGATGGGCAGCGGCAGCTACTCACCTCTCAACTGGTGAGAGAGAGCTTGGCCGAGTTCACCCTTGGACAGTAAAATCGCTGTCCTTGTGAACCACTTATTAAACACAGTGCTCCATCTGCATCCCATCCACATCCCAGAAGATAATGGTATTATCCCCATTTCAAATCCAAGGAAATAGATACAGTGGGTTTAGAACAATTTGCCCAGGGTCTCACAGTTGGTGATGGGAAGGCTGGGACTGAAGCTCCACTCTGCTCTGAGCCAGGGGACTGTGCTCCTTCTTGGCTGGGCATTGCTTGCTGTGGAATCTTTTAGGGAGGGACCGAGCATCATGAGAACATCAGTGAGACTGCTGGTGGGTAGGAAGCCCTATGTCTGTTGAGAGTATTCACTGATAAAAATCACATGCTCAGAATCAGAGCACATCATAGCAGCTGACTGAGTTCACTAACTCAGTCAGCATGGGTTGTGCTTTTCTTTGTGATTAAAATGTCGCTTAGTCAGGGTTGCTATTGCTGTGATAAACTCCATGACCAAAGCAACCTGGAGAGGAGAGGGTTTATTTCGGGTTATCACTCTCAGGTCACACTTCGTCATGGGGGGAAGTCAAGACAGAAACTGATGCAGATGCCTTGGAGGGATGCTGCTTCCTGGCTTGCTCAGCGTGCTTTCTTATACACCCCAGAGCCACCTGCTCAAGTTTGGCACCACGCACAGTGAGCTGGGCCCTCCCTCATCTAATCATCAATCCAGAAAATGCCCCCCAGGCCTGCCCACAGGCCAACCTAGTGCGACATTTTCTCAATTGAGGTTCCTCCTCCAAAGGAGTAGCTTGTGTCACACTGACATAAAACTAACTAGCACTGAAGTTAAAGAAATACCTAAAGAGATGATGTTAGAATATGGTTGGGCTCTGGGTAAAAAGCGTTAGCGACACTTAGACATGCTGCTGTGCAGACATCCTTTACAAGACTCCAGACCTGCCATTTGCCAGTGCAAACACCATTATCCATGTGTTTAGCACCAGAACAGCAGGATCCAGTGAGTTTGTCATGGATCTTTCATGGCGACAGTAAGCCACACCTGGCTCATGGCTTTTAAGAGACTCTTAAGTCTTCTGAATGGCCTTTCATCCATGGAAATATGTCCACTTATTGAAGAAATTAAGTTAGAATCATATGGAAAGCTAAATAACATACAGAATTTGTTTTATTTATTCTTGACCCTCTTGTTTTTCAACATATGTTTACTGTACTGACTTTTCATGTCTTTGTAGAGACGCAAACATAAAAGCATATGGTGTTTTAATTCTGTAGCCGAATGCATGAAATGTATTAAAGATTAAATAGATGACAAAGACCTAGTGGAGCTTGATCATTTAAGTCAAATAAACCTTTACCCAATTAACTGGAAGCACACGATCACCAAGGAAAATACTTGTAAAACACTCTGTACTAGGAAGAAAATACCCTACTCAGTATCGATGTCTTGTTTTTCAAATGTTCACAGTGGCCTTGGATGGAATTTGGAGCATTAAACGGAATCTCCCTGTGGGAGGCATGATGCCAGGACAGCAAAGCAGAAACAGTTCACTCCCACAAGCCAAGTACTACTCAAGACATGGAGGGCTGAGAAGTAAGACCCCTGCACCCTTGACCCCACCCCCACAGGTACCCTGAGGGGGTTCCACAGCTTACAAACAAGCGGCACACCCTTAAGAACCCCAGTCAAAGGCCAACAACCCCAACCCCCACCCCCGATGCCCCCCTTGCTTCTGTCTGTCACATTTTACTTGTCTACTTTGTCGTCGTGGGACTCAAACAGTTTGGCTAAGGAGCATACTTCTACAGACACCAGGGAAGTTCATACCTAGACTTAGACTCTTTACTTCTAATACACAAGAGTTTCTTGCACTTGGCAGGCTCTGGGGGAGAAATCATGTACGTTCCTTTCTTCTAAATGGGTGACAAAAGAGAGGTGAGGGAATTAAGGAGGGACTCAGCATGGATCCCTTAGTTTCACCTATTCTAGGTAGATGGGTCACTTTGTTGAGAGTACTCCTCAGAAAACGAAAGCTTAGAAAGAGCCATTCCTCATTCCTTATTGTCTCAGGGTCTGTCATAATATCTTTAGCAGGATGTAGGAAGGAGACAGAGGTCTTGACCTAAGAGCAACGTGCAGACAATGTAGGGACACACTGGTACACGAGTCCTGAACATCACTTTGCAGCTGGGAGGTGGATCTGTGTGGAAAAACAGCAGCACACAGAAGCCAGGCATAGGTGTCCCCACTCTCGCCTCTCCCCTTTTCTTTCTTTTCAAAGATACTTTTGTTAATATGTGTATGTATTTGCTCAGTGCCCACAGAGGTCAGAGGATTAGATCTTTCAGAACTTGAGTTAAGGGCATGTTATGGTGTAGATGCTGGGGTCTAGACTTTGGTCCTCTGATAGAGCAGTACATGCTCTTAATTACTGAGTCAGCCCCAGCATATGTGTTCTTAACCAGGATATGAATCATCTCAGCAAATTCTGAAAGCACTAATTGTTTCAGATTCTTAACACATTATTCTATTTAAGAATTACAACCCCCCCCCCCGAGGGAGGAGCTGCCCTGCTAGGCCACAGAGGAGGACTTTGCAGCCAGTCCTGAAGATACCTGATAAACCAGTATCAGATGAAAGGAGAGGAGGTTCTCCCCTATCAGTGGACTTGGAAAGGGGCAGGGAGGAGATGAGGGTGGGAGGGTGGGATTGGGAGGGAAAGAGGGAGCGGGATATAGCAGGGATACAAAGTTAACAAACTGTAACTAATATTAAAAAAAAAAAAAAGAATTACACCAGCCACAAGGAATAGGCACAATCCATTTTTCAGATGAGGACACCGAGGCACAGAAAGGCTGACGAATTTACCCAGTGCTACTTAGCTGTTGCATGCAGGTGCTTACTTTGAACCCAGGCAGCCCATCTGGGGAGCCCATGCCCTCAGCTATGAGGTGCTCGGATGTTCAAAGCCCAGAAACGGGGTCTACTGACCCTAAGCAACAAGTGGGCACAACACAAGTACCACGGAAGAGGAGGCTGGGGATGGGCCTGCGAGATATGGATGATGCAGCCACGAAGCATAGACACACAAATCAAAGGACATAAAACAACAGAACTCAGCCATGGAGCCATGGAGCCATGGAGCATGGGCTGGGAATAACAAAGCAGTTGCCATTATTTACCACATGCAAGACAGGGCAGCAAGCATTTTACACATCTGGGTAGCCCACCTGATCGATGGTTATCTTTCCACTTTCAGGTAAGATAATTTGGTGATAGGAAGGACATTATGAATCCTGGTCTGAGAGATCGTGTAGTGGAAATTACCAGCCTATGCCCATCTGGCTTCCAAGCGTGTACCTTAACCACTGGCCATCATGACAGAGATCCTGGTCACTGCTAGGGAATTGGGTGGAGCCAGCCAAATCACATGGTTGTGGCTAACCAGGCACAAATGCCAGGACTGTGGCAAGGAAACATTAGAATCTGAGAGTGAGGACATTTACATTTACAACCTATAGAGAAATCAGTGCTTTTAGTAAGCCTGATTTATCCTGTGGCCCTAGCTGAATAGGCTAAGCCAGGAGGATCTCTGGAGCTCACTGGCCAACCAGCCTAGCCAAATCAATGAGCCCAAGGTCAGTGAGAGACCCTGACTGAAAGAATAAGGTGGGGACAACCAAGAAGCACTTACACTGACCCCTGGCCTCCATTACTCACACACACACACACACACACACACACACACACACACACACACACACACACACCAGCTCAATGAAGAGCAGGACAGTATCTCTCTCACCGTGGCTCAGTATTACAGTTTGTCATGAGAACCACCCACAGCTGAAGGAGCCAAAGAATCTATTGCTGCTAAGCACAGCTCTCTCTCCACAGAAGTGTGTAGGTTTCTCTACTATACTGAACAGAATAGAGAAGGTATGCAGGGAGTAAGGGAACCTCTTTATTGAATTATAAAATCATGCATAGGTTTTAAATGGATCCTGGACCTTGTCACACTTTTGAAGAGTTTTCTGTTTCATGAACCTCTGCTCTCTCTGTCTCTGTATTTCTCTCTGTCTCTGTATCTCTGTCTCTCTCTCTGTCTCTGTCTCTCTCTGTCTCTCTCTCTGTCTCTGTCTCTCTGTCTCTCTCTGCCTGATTTAGTGACTGCACAGCATGGATTGTCCTCATACCACTGGGTTTATTCATTTGCTCTCATCACTTCCTTATCCTCCACCATTTCAACAACCCAAAGGAGAAGAAAAATCATTTAGCCACCACTAAGCTTGACCATGCCCATGAAGTACAACTCAGATTCTGCTTTATTTGGGGTCCTAGGCTATTTCAAGCCATCACCTGAGTGATGCTGACACTACCCAGAACCACGCTCCAGCAGCTGGGGGCTCAGAGGCTGAACTGTGGCTCCAGGGTCATAAGGAAGTGTGTGGCTTTCGTATTCTGCTCTGCAAGTGAGCTACCATGAGCAAGATGACTCCAAAGTTAGATTGAAATGTGGCTAGGATTAAAGATCATCTCCCCAAATAAAACACATTTGCTTACATATTCTTTTTCTCACTCTAGGATAAGATGGACACATCCTTCCACAGAGATGGAACTTTCATTCTTCTAATGTCCAAAGATAGAAGAAACCCAAGCTTGTTTCTCAACTTAAAATGTATGGGGGGGGAAAGTTGTTTAGTCTGTAATACTGATATATAAATCAATCCAAAGTCATGAAATACTATTGGGAATATATATATATATATATGCTAAGAAAAATATACTTGTTTTTTAGTTTTCACAGTTGTGGTGTGTTAGGTTTCTGTTCAGCTTATTCTATTAAATGTATCAAACAAAGACATAGCTTTTCTTCATTTCAAGTTAAACATTATAAAATTGAAACTTAACCTATAGTGTAATTGGCTAGCCCATTTCCTGTTTGGTATAGAGGGTGATTGAGACATGGGTGACACAGAACAGAATGCCCAATACCTGCTGATTACATTTCCTTGCTAAATGGTAAGGAGCCAGGTGTTCTCTCACCCCCCCATCTACTATCTATCTATCTATCTATCTATCTATCTATCTATCTATCTATCTATCTATCTATCTATCTGTGTGTGCATATGTATATATTGGGTATATAATTCTGAGATAACATATAGATTATAGATAGATAATTCTTGTGAGTTTAAAAAGAGGTTAGCAAGAGAAAAACTCTTTCACCCATTTCGCAGAAATATACACATGCTGTGGAAAAACTGGAAGATAAGGAGATATGAGAGGGCGCTGGAGAAATGGCTTAGCCACTGAGAGTGCTTGCTGCTCTTGCAGAACACCCGACCCTCACACAGTGGATCACAACTACCTATAATTCCAGTTCCAGAAAACCTCCCTCTGGCCTCTGTGGACACTACAAGCATGTGGTACCAAACACTCGTGCCGGTATAACATCTGCACACATAAAATCAAAACAAATCCCCCAAAATTAAAAAATGAAATGCAAAGAAGGACCAGGATGTAACTTGGTAGGTAGAGTCCTTGTCTCGTATGACTGAAACCCTCGGTTTGTGGTACATATTGTGTTCAGCACACGAGAGGTAGAGGCAGGAGGATCCAAAGTTGAAGGTCATCTTTGACTACAAAGTGCATTTGAGGACAGTGTGTGCTACATGAAAGTATCAGAAACAACAAAAACAACAACAAAAAAACACAAAGAAAAATATTTTGATTTAATCTCCCAGAGTCACAAAAAGCACATTGATATATTTTATTCATTTTCTTCAATGCTTCTCTTTCTTGTTTGACATCATGCTCTACAGTAGCAGTTCTCAAACTGTGGGTCGTAATCCCTTGGAGGTTGAACAACCCTCCCATGGGGGTCGCCCAAGGCTATGGAAAAACTCGGGCATTTACGTTATGATCACAACCGTAGCAAAATTACAGCTATGAAGTCACAATGAGATAATTTTATGGTTGGGGGTCATCACAACATGAGGAACTATATTAAAGGGTTGGGGCACTAGGAAGGTTGAGAGCCACTGCTGTGCAGTTTGTACATTTATTATCCTACCTAACGTAACAACGCTTAACTTCCAGTTCACTTACATACTTTGAATAATTACACAAAAATGCACATAAAGCTGGACGTAGTTACTCTAGCCTGTAATTTTAGTACCTATGGGGGGTGGCAGGGCAAAGACAGGAGAATTGCCAAGAGTTTGAGGCTAGCTTAGGCCGTACAGTGAGTTCTAGGTCAGCCCAGCTACAGAGGGAAAACTCTGAAGACGACAACAAACTGCACCTAATTTATTCATGGATTAGTCTGCTTGCTGGGTATTTGGACTTCAACAGTTCTTTAAGCCTCGTATCAGCTGTGGCATACCTAACAGTAAAGAGTCTGTCTCCTTGTTTTCCAGTTTGAGCTGTTGTGTCCTCCCTCCTCCGGAGCGTAAGCCCACTCAGCTCCCCATTCTCAAGTTCAGATCTGTTTCTAATGGAATATGCGAACAGAGATTTGCTCACTGGTATGTCTTGCCCCTGCTTAAAAACACTCGCTCTGCAACAGTGTCTTGAGGCAAGATCCAAACTTTTCCAGTTTTAGTACAAAATTTTCCATGTCATTAAAGCACACCCTGAATGAGGTGAGGTGTGTGTGTGTGTGTGTGTGTGTGTGACAAGGGGTGGGTATGGGCGTGTGTCCAGCCCTGACGTATTCTGGAACCCTTCCATCACTGGTCACTTCAAAAGCAGAACTGTGAGCCAAAAGCTGACACCCACAGACTCTATCTTCTTAGGCAAGAAACATCAAGAACTGCTTAGAGTTAGGGTGAAACACTGACGAATCATCTGGATCTCAGGCGTCTAACTTACCATCTATTCCCCTTCTGTGAGTGTGTATATGCAGAGGGAAGACAGTGATAACTCCTAACTTAAAATAACCCAGGAGGAATGACACCCTGCTCCTACTTGGATTCCCATTGTGACCTTAGAAAGGTGCTCAGAGATTTCCCTTCTCACTACACATTCACTAATAAACAAGCCACCCCACAGTGACTCCATGACTTTCCAGGTTTGCTGCCTGCTCTGCTCTGCCCTGTTCTGACCAGCCTCTAATGCTGGCAAGCCCAGAGCCCCAGGCATTGCCTCCTGCTTTCTGTGCTTACTGCTCCAGGGTCAGGCTGTTTTTGCAGTTAAATATTGTGTGTATGCCACTGCCTCACTTCCCAAGCACAAGTATGCAGAGGCTTTTCTGCCAGCACCATTTACAATGTCATAAGGCACCTCAATATCCAGCACATGGGTGATTCTGAGAATTATAATGTGATGTAATACGTTGGTGTTGCATTTTAGATAAACATTTAAAAACAAAACATGGGTCACAGTGATGGCTCAGTGTGTAAAGCACTTGGTTAAAACCATGAAGATCTGAATTTGACTCCTAGAACTTGTGTAAAGCAGATGTGGTACTATCTGTAATGCCTGCAATCTTACGGTGAGGTGGGCGGTGGCAACAAGAGACTATCTAAGAAGCCTGTGGGCCAGGTAGCTCGGAGAATGGAGCAGAGTAGTGCCAGGGTCTGAAAATCCAAAACAACCCAAGCAGACACAAGAGTCCAGCAGAGCAAGATCTTTATTGAATTAGGCAGCAAAAGCTGACCAAAGACAGCAGCATAGACCGACGAGTTGATTGCATCTTTGAATTATTTAAGCAGATGCCAAAATCTTACTGTACTCAGGCCACTATTGATTGAGCAGGGCCACAGAAAAGAGTTGGGAGCTGAACTGCGACCCAAGCCAGTGTGTCACAGTTTTTAAGCCCAAAATCCACAAACATCTATGTCAAATTATCCCACCAATCAGGATTTAGGGATAGTGGACTTGCTTAGGAATATGTCTTTGTGGTACACTTATCCTGTTCCCATTGGTTGGGTTATTCAACTGTGGTGGGGAGCCTTGCCTAGAGTCTGTGACTCAGATTCTGTCAGTTACCCAGAAAGGTCCTAGGAACTTAAACTTTATTTGATCCCAATTCAAAAATGGAAGTTTTATTCAAAATGGCTTCAGTTTGGTTTCTTCTTAAAGTAGCAGAAACGAGAGACCCTGCCTCAAAACAAGGTAAGAACATACTCTAAATGTTGTCCTCTGATTTGTCATGTTCCATCCTTGTTGGCCCTTCTGAGCCTCCTCAGTTTCTATCGGAGCGTTACCCAAGCCCAAGGATACACCTGCCTCCTAAAGGCTGTCTCCCAGGTTAGCCAAGAGCCACACAGATTAAATATTAGAAGTAAAATCATAAAACCAAAACCACAAAAGTAATCAGTCTCATCTGGGCCGATTACCTTTTGAGAAACCAACTTTGTACCTTGCTTTGAAAGTGTTCTGTACTCTGCCCTCGGGTTTAAGAAATTGCTACCTTCATTTCACAACTGGAATGTTTTTAGAGAAGGAAGTTATATGAAGAGACTTGGGACTTTGTATTTATAAAATATACATTGCACACATTTTATAGCTCACACTTTTTTCCCACATAGCTATTCATTATGACCATTTCCCTCGCTGATATAATTGTGATTATATATATATATATATATATATATATATACATCTATTCTATCTATCTATCTATCTACCTATCTACCCATCCATCCTTCCATTCTATGTTATATGAATGATATGGCTTTACCTTGTATAACCATGTCTCGCCTGAAGGGCCTTTTACCTAGGGAAATCCCTTAGATTTTCTTCAGGGGTTCATACTTTGGAAGGGATAAACTAGAAGAACTTTGAAGACAAAGAATTAGGTTGCAAGGAAAGACTGGTTATCACAACAACCTCCAACTCTTTAGTTCTCAGATTGTTGCAGGCTGGTTTCTGCACACACACACACACACACACACACACACACACACACACACACACCTCAGGGAATTGGAGGTCAACAAAAATAAACCTAGCAGACATAATGGTACATGAAGCAAGTCTATTCATGGAATGAGCAATATTTCAGAATTCTAGTTTTATTAATAATTTAAACAGTCAAATGCAGAAGAAGAGAGTCGAATGCTGGGTGGAAGTATGAGGGGAACCTAACTAATCAGCAAGCATAGGGACAGGGGGTATGACTTAGACAGCAAACTGTTTGCTTTGTAGGCATGAGGATCCAAGTTCAAATGCTAAGAAAACCAGTATATGTCTAAAACACTAATGGAGACAGGTGGATTCCAGGGCTTCACTAGCTAGCCGGTCTAGCTAATCTATGAGTTCCTAAGTTCACGGAGAGACCCAGTTTCAAAGGTGAAGAAGATACTTGCTATGTACCTCTGGCCTCTGTACACATACAAATGTGCCCTGCACACACATAACACATGCACAGGTTATAGACACTTCACCGACACCACCAGCAACAAATTTATAAGCCGTCAGGTGCGGGATGAGTTAGTTTTGCGCTATATACAGCATTATTGTCTCATATACTTAAAACCCTAGTACAAGTGCGTACCTCCTGTCAGTTGTTCTTACCACAAGAAAATAAACTTGAATTAAAATCACAAGGGACTAAAATTCCGAATCAACTTCACTGTTTATGGACAGGGCTTGCTGGCCGGTGGGCTTCCCTTTTGAAACCAAAGCACTCCTCAGTCACCTTTAATTGTGCCTTAATTATAATTGTGTTTTAATTATAGTTCTTACTTAGAACACTTGTATGGCTAAAGAGCTTCCTTGGAATACATAATTCCTCATTTCATCTCTGTAGCTAAAGC